AGACAAGCTCAATCGCCTTAGAAGAATGCCCATCTGGAGTCCAGGCTTTTTTTTTATAAGTTTAAACGGATGAAAACTGCATTAACTTCGTGAACTTCGACACTTTTAAAGTTTAGATTCAACTTTCTGAATGGCGACAGACTTTACGTGCGATTATATATTCAGCACTTTCTCGAGTTTGGCCTCAAGGGAACTTTCCGTGAACAAATTACTGGGCTGCACGTACCGTGCACTGCAAGTCATGATATTACAGTGCAGGTAATTAGAATGTGGAGGTAATTAGAATGTGGTAATTAGGTAATGAGAACACCGACTGCAGGTAGGTGTTCAAGGTATTAGTTCGCTGTGATTTTATAACTAATGTGTTTATTAGCGCATAAATGTGGTCAATTAGCACATCTGTGTTCAGGGTGTAAGTTTGCTCTATTATTATAATTATCGTGATTAGTTGTGTGGACGCCATTTTGCAAACCTCTTCGGTGCTCGCGATGCAGGTAGCGATATTTTATTGACAACGTGCTAAATAAAAATTATGATATCTTTTCAATGTAGGCAATGGCTTAGAATAGTAATTCCATTTTACATTTCAAATCATCCGCTTTAATTATTTCTCACGTACTTATTCGTGAATTGTTAACTAGACATTTTTTTAATTTTTTCATAGACCAAAGGACTGATTTCACGGTCGCAACACCACCATTTACATGCGCCGTGACTTGCACAATCTATTTCCCTGGCCTCCGCGGGTAAGAAATATTGCCAATCGCGGAAAATTCTCGGCTTCGCAATTTCCTTCATAGTTTGCATTGGGGCTTAATTCAGGACCATCAATAGTTTCGCACGCTGAGCATCGCTGTATGTATAAGCGAAGAAGATTTCTTAGTTACTATCTCATCTTTAATTTCCCAAAATACTTCAAGATTGCATTCTGTATCTTATGTATGATAATTTGGGCAACATGACACATCCATTCTCCTGAGTGGGGGTTTTAAAATGGATACTACACATTTCTCAATTGAATTTTTCCCGGCTATGATATTTACTGGTCTACTAGTGGGACTCAAAAAAGAAGGGTAACAAGTCTCTCATTTGCCACTATGTGACACTGTACGTAAAAAACGGAGCTGCCTGGCTGTACAAACACAAACTAACGCCAGCGCAATTATCAGCGTCTGCAGCGCGTTGCGTAAACGACCGTGAGTCGCACGCGCACGTCGGCTGCCATGTCCGCAAATTACCTTACCATTTCCTTCATTTCGTGGAATTTATGTCCATGTGACAAGGCCTTCAGTAATTTTATTCCAGATTGCTGTTTCTGTGCTGTGTTTTAAATTTTCTTTCTTTTAGACTCGTTTGCTGTTAATTTTAATTATATTCGTATTAATTCATTTTATTAACGTCTGCTGTCTATTATAATTTTTCCCATTTTACTCCTGCATGCCTGCTATTTTATTAGTCTTCTTTTCGTCTTGGCTGTTTTTTACTTCAATCTTGTTGCTTTCATTTCCGTCTGCTGTTTATTTTACTCGTCTTGTATTTTTTTACTGCTGCTCATTTAATCTTGTTCATTTTTTCTCAACTGCCGCTGTGTTGTTTCTTCTTCGCTCTGATCAAGACGTGGAGCGCAGCACCTGCTCGGCTTCCTGAAGCGCAGCGCGCGCTTCAATTTCTACGTCGGTCACATGTTGCCGCGTCTGCCTCGCTCGCTCATCGACACATTCAATCACAAAACGCCGTTTGAACTACTTTCATCTGCCGAATTTGCTTGTTGAACAAAAGATTCGATGACTTCGATTGATTATCTGCGGGCCGTGATTATTTAATCACGACCCGTGATTAAATAATTCGTCAATGAGAGAGGGGAACTTAATGACGAATTATTTAATGAGAAGGGAACTTAATGACGAATTATTTAATGAGAGGGGAACTTAATTTCTTGAATTCGGTTATCCGGCAGTCTATGGTCATTAATTTTTTTACAGTTTTAAGTCACAAACTATAGTGTACATTTCGAATGTTGAATTGTATTAAAAACTCGCGTAATGATTTTTTGAATATGGAAACCAAAATAATATGTTTCTAACATTTATTTGTCTACGTTGACTTAATTTCGAAACTGAGAATTGCCCGGAAATCTTGTGAAAAGATTAACTTGAAAAACACGCCTGGCGGCATAACCTCACCTGCGTTCCAATTTTATCTAACAAATTCCTAGGAAAAACGCAGATTTGAATTTAGCAAATGGAATTTGCGGCAATAATGTTAATGTTGTCGAAATATCTAAACCCGGCGTGAAATCGTGTTTGTGTTCCAGGCTCTATAATTATGTTTGAGATGCAGTTCTCAGATATGAAAATTGTTTGGTTAGCTCACCCCGACTATTAACTTAAACTTCCGTTGCAGTTCATTGTTTTAAATTTTATTTGAGTTACAGCTCCTTGCTGTGAATTCTGTTCAAGTTTCAGCTGTCGGAAAGAATTTGATTTGAGTTTGAGATCCCGCTTCTAAATCCTGTTTAGATTTTAACTGTGAATTTTGTTTAGCTGCAGCAGCTCCCAGAGGCTAATTTTGTCTACGTTTCAGCTCCCACTTCTAAGTTTTGTTGAGGTTTCAGCCCTTAGAGGTCGTACAATGCGAGGCGCTTATACAAGCGTCGTTGCCGCTGCTGTTCCGCACCAGCGCCGCCGTCCGCGCATTCCGGCCAGTGATCGCTAATGAGATTAAGCATCAGGAATTTAGCGAGCGATCGAATTTCTCAAGCTGATCCAAAAGGTTGATAACCATGCATTGCTGCAGTGGCTGCGGGTCTTGCGTGTGCATCACGGGAAATTACGACAGTGATACCTTTTTTGGGCGAACTGTCATGCACGGTATTTAGAATATTCTCTGGGTATTGAAAGGGTGTGCATTAATTATTGTGTAGCGAATTGCGTATCAATGTACGTGCAGTATGTTTTCAAAAATATAATATTATTTCGTACGCATGGTAAATGTAGATAAAATATATAAATTTACCTTGGAAATGCGTATCAGGAAAATACTATCCTCCTAAAACATGTGGAAAACCCTAAAATATTTAACTCATTGACGATCAAAATAGTAAAATTTTTTGAATTTTGGGCGGGTTGAATTTAAATAAAATCATCTGAAAGATCAAAATCTTCGTTCTCATTTAATTCTATAGTACAAAAAGTGCTATCATTTCAGCAACTTTCTGCTCACGTCAAACTCTATCTATTTCCAGCGATTTCATTTCTTAGTCATAAAAAGACTCGATCTGGATGACCTCATATGTATGTGCTCATAACGTACTGCCGATTCGATGCTCAGTCATAAAAGTTTGTGCATCATTTTGCACTGCGAATATTCGCCATAACTTCGGTCGTACATACAAGTAATCGTGAGTTTAGAAAGCTGATGCAAATTCACTTTGCTCAAGACCGTTGGTCACTCCAGCATTTCATCGAGTGTACGGCTAGGAAATATTGTCAGCCAAGACTTAATGTGCCAAGATATGCGTTTCGCAGACGTACGTACCAATGAATTCAGTATTTTGCCAACGTTCAATTTTTTTTACCTACTGAACCTATTTTTCCCTTCAATCCTTATCGTAATTTAGAGTTCATCATGCTGTACCGGTTATAACTCAAAATTAAATTCAGTTTTGGTTTCGCAATTTTCATAAATACCCTCAGCAAAATATTAGTTCAAGAACACACCTGTATTCGCATAAGCATCAACATTCAATCAAATTTCGTTCCTCAATTTCCGTTTAGAAAATGTAATTGCCTTTACTTTTAAACTATCGCTTACGAGCATTAAAATTTTAGCAGTAAGGTTTACTTATATGAACATAAATCAAGGTATTCATTTTAATTGTTGAGTTAATAAATCTTCAGAAAAACGTGCACATTTATTTAGTTATTATTGAGCATTGTATGGGCGTGGCGCACTGCTGCTTATGTTGTGTGCGGTCTTAGGCAATGCTATGCTGTGTAGATGAAGAATTTTATCCGAGTTGAAAGGCAATTGTATCCACTTTTACTTCAATATACGTGCTTTAGTTAAATTTAAGCGAGAAAGAGTAAATAATCTCCCCATCATTTTTGGGAATTTTATATCCAACACTATATGAAAGTAATAAAACAAGACCAAATTAGTAATTTCTTCTTTTGTGGTAATTTAGTTAAAACTCAATTCTTCATAAAAACACTTTTATAAGAAATATATGCGCTTCCATTTCAAAATATTAATATCAATTGGCGCCAACACGAGGCAATAGACGCTTGTACTCAGACGAGCAGTTAATCCCAGTGCAGGTACAAAGGTCAAACCAGTCTTTCTAGAGCTAAAAAAAGATAAAGCTGCTGAAAATATTTTAATACTGCTAAAAATATTTTAATGATGCTAAAATATTACAATGATGCTAAAAATATTTCAATACTGTAAAAAATATTACCCAGCTGCTGAACATCCGCGTCAATTAATAAAAAAATAATAATACAGCTGCTAAAGAGCCGGGTCAACTTATTACACAGCTGCTGAAAAGCCGGGTCAATTTCTCCTCCCGTCTCTGGCATAAGTGGGTCAATAGCATGCGTTGTGGTATACAAATGTGTAACTTCCACCACCAAACAACGCGCGGTCGATGTTCTCTCTGTCTTCTCCTTGACATCGCAATGCAGCCTCTAATATACACATTGCGTCGAGTGAATGCATTGAAAGTTGCTGTTATTTCATCCCGGATGTGATAATATTTTAATGGCATATTAGGTCTTCTTGTTGATAGTAGCCTTTTGTCCTGGATTCTGTCTGATGCATTATAGATTTCATTTGCTTTGCTTTGCACTGGTTAATATATTAAAGAGATTAATCTATTTGTTATTGCTGTTAAATTATGTTCTATGTTACTCGTTCGTTTTTGTCTCATGTAATGGATTCATTAAAACTTTGCTATGATTTTACTTTGAGCACAGTCATTGAAACTTTTATTTTTCCAGGTCCCGTGGCCGCTCTGACGACGTCAAAGCGTCCTCAAGAATTCAGCGGGAAGATTTCTACGTGAAGAGATAACGTCTATTTTCGTGTCATAGACAGCATATATAGACTGAAAACTGGCACTGACATTACTATTCATTGTACTTTTCATGATTCCATGATACTGTCTGAACGATTTATTAATTCAAACTAATTTTTACGTGATTTTTCCATTGCTTTTGCTAAGAAATTTTCAATTTTGTCTGTACTCCGTTATGGACGCGTCAGTGCCTATTAAAAGATTGTGTTGAAATCTTGGACCAAATTTAGGAAAACGATTGTGTTCTCTATTGTCTTTCTGTTAATGCGTCACATATGCGTTAATGCCTCAAAATATGAAGTGCCCGATTTTGTTTTATTATTCTGACGTGAGTATAAACTTTGCACCGTGGCATGATCTGGCGAAAGAAATCTCTAACGTTGCGATCTTCTTTGAACCTAAAAATTTCTGTCAATTTTTACAAGCTTAAATAGACGTAGCGTCGCATAGAATCCCCGCCACTTGTCGATACAAACGGATTGACCAATCATTAACAGACTTTATTATCAAGGACTGACTTCATCCGATCATCGCTGAACGTAAAAATTTTCGGGCGTTACCATTATCATCTGACGAAGGGATCATTGTTATACCAAATCATCATCCACGAGCGTAACCATCATCTACTGACTTACCGATCATCGTTAGACTGGACCATCATTTGCAATCATCATCATCGTCTAAAGCAAGAGTCTACCTCGTCACCTGCTGACGATATACTGGACCATCATTCGCAATCATCTTCATCGTCTTCTAAAGCAAGAGTCTACCTCGTCAGCTGCTGACGATGGAGCGCCAGATCCCGCACATCCTGGACGTGTTCTCGTCATCCCCGGGGGCGCGGCGGAGGCTGAGAGCGGGCATCGTGAGCGCGGTCAGATCATAGTGGGCAATGTTCATCAGCAATTTACATGTGTAACGCTTAATTAATTGTGGATGGTGTTCTGAAACTTCAAATGTAGTATAAAACCCGTTGCTTAAGTTCAGGTCTGAAAAATTGCATTTTATTATATACGGAGGCAATAACTTAATTATTAATAAACGGTTTATTTACCTCATCGTCCTGAAAACAGTGGCGTGATGGTTCAAAGTAACTCAACTCCGAGACACTTATGGTGATTTCAATGACAATATTGCAATTAGCTAATAATACTTCGATGTTGCTAATTCATCTGCCTATCATGTTGCTTCTTCAAGCTTATTCTGTCTACATTCAAGTGTGTACATAAAATGCCAGATTATGGCAACTTTTAACATTATAAGATTTGAAACAATCAAGATATTGGCGAAAATATTGCTTCAGATTTTATCCTCGTTGTTTTTTTTCATGTGAGCCTCCACGCCAAGCCTCTAGAAAACACCGTAAAATATGCCTTAGTGATCGTAAAAATTTATTATTGTTTGTGTTGTCGCGCCCTTGCAACACACGAATGAGGCCGATGACTTCCCATAAATAATCATACTTTAATGATATTTTTATATGATAAAATTCATGCCGATGTCATCCAAGCCACGTACCTGCTGTATAATCTGCGATGTGGACAGCTTGCGTTGCCTGTTAAGTAAGGCGAAGACGAGAAGATAGCGATGGTCGAAGAGGCGCCTAGGCAGAGACCGGAATTATACTCCTATAGATTAGAGCGTGTGGTGCAGCCGGATAATTTGTTCACTAATGGAACTGTATGAATAATATCGAGTCTGGGACATGCGAAATAGTGTGGATTGTTGTTTTTAATGCCGTTCCCATTGGAAATGTATTATAACTTGTTAAATATCCTTTTTATAAGGGTAAAAAGAGTCGTCAAAATTAAATTTTTGTATCTAATTTGCACATCAATATAACTTCTTTCTCTCGTCAGTTCAAGATTTTTCGTACTTCGTCAGTACAAATTCCTTCATATATGTCAGCATAGGTTCTTTCGCACGTTAGTTTTCGTTTTCCATGCGTAAGTTGGTTCATCCGAGTTTCAGCTCTCATAAGGTCATAAAATTCTATTTTTCACTTAAAACGACGTCTGTCTCTGTTACAAAATGAACATCAAAGTCCAAAACAATAGAGAAAAATTATGTATGAGTATAATAATGATTCCTTCGTTGGCAGGACAAAGACGATCTACATAAGAACCCAGGCAGCGACTCGGCCGTAGGCTCGACCGACGACGAGAGCGACGAGCAGAAGAACATCGCCAAGTACTTCGACTACCTCAACGAGGATGACTTCTCGGGCAGCAGCCAGCGCAAGAAGAAGAAGAAAACTACGACCACCTCAAGAGAAAACACAAATAAAGACACTAAAGTGCCCGATCAAAAAGGTGGAAGCGTTACTGAAAATAACGAGAAGAATAAGGTCGGACAAAATAACAATAAAAAAGAAAAGGCTCATCGTAAAGGTGAGCAAGAGAGAGATATTCGGCATATTGAACGACATCTTTCGATGAAGAAAACCATACGTAAAAAAATGATGCGAGACTTACAGCAAGCTTTTGTGGAAGATCCAAAAGATCTTCAACAAGATCCCAAGGGTCTGGCTGATGACAAGAAGAATAACATTGATATAAACAATTTGACTTTTTCTAAAAATCGCATGTCTAAATCAGAACATAATTTTCTTGATATGTTAAAAGAGGATCAGGTTAAAGAACGAAAAGGCCTTAGAGCGTTAATGGACTTTAGGAAACCTTCGCTTACAGCCCAGCCTGAACCTGAAATCAGACCCCCAACGAAAGAGGGCGACTCGAAAATTCTTAAAGAACCCAAACCGGTTAACGATAAAACTCAAATTTCTGCTAATGAATCTAAATCAGACGAAAACATCCCAAAAGAAACCAAGCCCTTGGATTCAAAATTAAGGGACACTAAACCAATTAATATGAAATCAACTGATAAGAAGTTCATTGACGAGGATTCCGGTCATGATTCGCCGACTCACGAATCGCATGAGCCGTTGAATCAGAAAAGTAGGAGCCGAGACGACCTCGACGAGACGTGCGACTCAAAAGACGCCTCATCTAAAAAATCGAGTTTTTGGAAGCGATTCACAGGCAAAAATAAAACTAAGCGATGATGCCTCATTCGGCGCTAAAAATAATGTGTTCCTGATATAAAATGGTGTCCATAGTTATTACATTTAGGGATATTTGATGTGTCTGTTGTTGAATACTTAGGTATAGATTTGCCACTCTCTTTCTTGCATTGCTTACCTAATTAAGATTAAAGCATTTATACATTTTCCTCAGTAGGTTCCTGTTGTTTATTTGGTAAATATTTTGCCAAGCTAACAGATACTGCTTAATCTAGCCTATATATCTTTTTATTTAGAATATCTTGTATCTCTTTTCATTCTATTATCCTATCGACAAAGAGAATTATCCTGCATTTTCATTTTTTTTGCTTTCATACTTTTTAATTTTCTGCTGTGCTATTGATGATCTGCGTGAAGGAATAGAAACCTTAAAAATATCTCATAATGTATTGACATTTTATTCCTTATGTGTTAAATTATTGGCCCGGATTGGTTATTCTGCGTAATTAAAAATAGGCATCAGATATTTCAATTCCCTTAGGTATTAATTGACAAGTTTAGCCTAGATGCAGTGCATCGATGAGGAGCTTTTAATATGTAAAAAGATTAGAAATTATTGTTATCGATTTGTACTAGTCTATGAATTCTTTTAAGCTTTCATTTCCTGAGGTTCAATATCTTCGAAATTTATTGCATTTCCTTACAGCCGAGCGTTTACAGCCGAGCGTTTCTTATGACCCGACATGTGATCGCTTCATTAATAATGTGGTGGAATGCTCGAACAATGTATTAAATTCAAAGCTGGACTTTCTTTGTAATATACGGTGATAAGTGATTGCTACGTAGGAGCATCGTTCCGTTACGGTTTAGTCTCAAGCGTTCTCCAGCTTTATCATAGTTCCTGATTTTATTTCTTAATATTCAAATGTGCCACCTGAATGTGACTCTCATTTTCACGTGACTTCTTAGGTTTCAAATTAAATTGTTTTCTCCACATATTTTTAATAATATTCCCGATGCAGAAGTGTTTCCAGTGAAAAAAGGTTTACAGAGATTTTATTTCTTATATTTCTTTCAATAAAAAGAGAAAACTGAGATTTATTATTCGGCATAATAATGATATCCATCCTAACTTTATATTCAAAATTTTTAATAAAACATGAGGTGATTGTCGATGAGACCTCCATTAATACAGAAAATATTTTTAATCTGTACAATCCAATATTTATCTTCCTAATAAAGTCAAACTTCCACCAATGTTCATAGTCCAAATTAGCGATCATAATATTTTATTCGTCTCGGAATATTAACTGGTTCATCGCCAAGTCCTCTGCAAGCACCAGCCCAGACTGGTTCTTTCAATCTTATTTCAGGGATGCATTATACTTGCGCAATTTTATTCGTATCTAACAGTTTGGTAACGAACTACTGGTAGTAGATAAAGGGTTGACCTTTTGTTTATTGATAGGCTACATGAATCGTCGTTGATCAAACTCGAACCTAAAATCTTGTTTAGTAGAGAATACGAGGAGTCTACTCTACTTTCTTTCTAACTCAAATTACTTGTCGTAAATGGGCCGATAACAAACGCTATCCTCTGTACCGAAAAAAACAGTAACTATGGAATAGCTGCAGAGAAGGAGTTTCGTATTCCTCTCACGTTTGTTGTTCTGTCCACAGTCCGATAAAAAGCTCCTGTTGGAGGTCATTATTTGACAGTGCTATTATCTTATCATCATATATCATTCTTTTACAATGGCTGGAAACGAAAATGATCATTCAACATATTTTACTTCTACTGTAGGGCATAATAGTCATGATCTGATTTGTTCTATTTTGCAACGCACATAACTTGAAATGGTCTTTCAAGCAGATACGAACTCTCGGCAAGCTTGGCTGAAACATAAACGTTCTTAATGAATCACATGTGAATGTATTGCTGTGCATATAAGTTGACATAGGGTTGGGCGAAAATACAACATCAATCCAACTTTCATGGTGTCGTATGTTTTTAGATCAAATAATATCGGAAACGTATCTTTCTTGTTCAAAGTTTGTATTTCATACGAAAAGTATCGCGAACAAGGAATGAAAAATGTCGCTTATTGTTTACATGATATATGCATATATCAACTCGTTCTAACTAGTTGAGCTACAATGAACTCTACAGGTTTTTTACATTCAATCCACACCCAGTAGGTTCATCGGTTGAGCTTCTGTCTTTTGGCAACCGCTTGGTTCGCTGCTTCAGATCCTGCAAAAACCATTCCCCCGCCACCACCCGCCCGGTCCGAGTCTCTGGTGAACGTAACGGGACCGGGCAGCTCCATGCACGCTCCTCCAAATTCTCGACAATTTTGTGCGTATGGAGCTGCTGGATGAATGCTTTGAGGCTGGAAATAGCTCAAGGTATTAGTTCTATTTTGGCCCTCAACATAATTGATCTGAGTTGTTCTTGTTGGTTGCGAGGCTGGTTGCGTTTGTCTTGGTAGCGCAAGTCCTTGGTTAGGACCTACGATGTTGTGGGCCGTACGATTGGAGAGGTTTCCACCAGGCTGAGAAGAGACCACATGACGATGTGGGGCCGCAGTTACTTGGTAGTGAGGCTTCACCTGCTGTATTGCAGAACTGGGCGCTGTCATCTCCCTGGTCGAGGCCTGGGCCGCTGAGTGCCTAGGCGCCGACCAATGAATGAATTGCTTTTGATTGGACATGACGTGCAATGCTGGCCCGTTAGTTGACAGTGACGATGACCCAGGGACGTTCGAGTTTTTATTGATCTCCACAGGAGGAACATTATTTGCAAATGAGCGGTTTTGGAATGAATTTTTTAGTATCGGTCGGGAAGGCATGTTACGCGACATCGGTCGCAACTCAATCATGCTTGTTCGCTGGAACTTGAACCTGACGGTTTTGGGTTGTGGAAGCTGCATCAAGCGTGGAGCTGAGGCTTGACTTCGAGGCAGGTTGGTGCTAGGCAGGTTGTGGTTTACCAGAACGTTTGCACGCAAAGGTCTGTGATTGTTGAAAAAGCTCATCCTTGGAGTATTCTGATTTTGAAACAATTTCGCGCTTGGATTGTGAGATGTTGTTGCAGCTGCGTTAGTATTAATCTGAGGAAAACTTGACCTCTGTGTTTGGACATTCGGAGCAGCGCTCGGGATTTGAAAATTCATATTATGAAGGCATGTTTTGCGCGGTGCATTAGCATTTCCGTGCCCACTCACAATCGGTATATTTTGGTTTGCTATTACATTCGTTTGTGGCAGGATTTGAGGTTGATGAGTGCTCATTCCTTGCTGGTTTCGAGGCATTTGAGGCCGAGGTGCTTCTTGCCTATGATTCACGGCTACACCTGACGCGCCGCTGCCTGACGCCGGCACCACTTGGGCGCGAAAAGTGTTAGGAAAAAGTGGTGTTGCCGTGAACGGTTTCTTAACTACAGGTATTGCGATGGAGGCTGAGGTCACGGCGATGTGCTTGTTATCCACTGCATGAGTTTTACTGGACATTATCCCTTTATCGTCTTCGATTTGATGTAAATTATTTGTAGGTTTTGGAAACTCATCAATCCTGAGTCCGTTATTACCTGCCGTAGTCCTCTTTCCGATATTTTCAGTGTTTATATTAGATGATGCTGACGAGAGGGGCATCTGCGGGAAATTTTCTTTCTCGAGTGCAGGTTTGTTCGTTTTTTCGAGACGACCAGACGACGAGGGTTGCGCACTGCACACGGAAAGGTTTGGCTCCACACGGCTGGCGGGGGCGATTTTCTGCATACAAGATTTCAGTGGAAATACGCGTGAGTCACAGAGTGAGCTCGAGTTCGGGGTCGGGTTATCAGAAACAACTTTTAATCCATCATCCATACTGGATGAAGATTGATCGTCTCTTTCCTTCATCGCATCAAGATTTTTCGGACTTCCGTTGCATTTTTGTTCGTCAGGAAAAAGTCTCGGAAGACTGAACATCAGGTCATAGTCAGTTTGCTCGCTCTTATCAGGAGGGTTTGTACAAATTGACACAGTTTCCCAGTCTGTCTCTTCCCATTCCAGAGAAGCAGCTGGAGATTCATCCTGAACCTCTTCTTCCACGTCCATCGCTTCAAAATCTGCCGAAAAATTATCCACTTCGCGCATATTTTCCTTCTCGCTGCATTGCGACACTCGTATCTCATTATCAACAGCTTTGTTGTTGGATTGCAATCTTTCACGAGTGTCGCTGGTGACGCTAGAAGCTTTGGGAAAATTCGTTATCGGATTTTCTGTACGCAATGACCTGCCTTGTGATTCATCGGAGGTGGTAATATTTTGCTGCAATTCAGTTGTATTGGCGGCCGCTGAAGAGCGAGTCGTTTCTTCTGATGTTGCTGGTAATTTGGCAGCAGCGTCGCCTTTCGATGAGTTTCTGGATATGTAACGAAACATTTATTAATACTACAAATTGGCGATAAATAAAGCTTAGTGTATGGCGATAGTACAGTAAATCATACGAAATGATGGTCTACTCTTGTACAAATCCGCATTTAGTACACGTTTCAGAGTAGAGTCGTACACCATCCAAAATGATTATTTTTCATCAGAGTTAGGCTCCATTTGAAATAATTATTTTCACCTCGGTCGTGTCCATGAGTATGGCGATAGAAATATAGAAATAATATATAGAAATTAGTTAGTTCAATATAGAAATTATTGATAATATTGATGATATTAATTAGTTAGTCTGACCGTGTGGGCGGCCGCAGCTCGGCGATCTCGTGCACCAGCGCCGCGGCGACGGCCTGCAGACACTCGCACTCCTCCACCACCGCCGCCTCCCGCCGCTCCAGCCTGCGGTGGCGGGCAGGGTGGAGGAGTGGCGGGGTAGGGTGGAGGAGTGGCGGGGCAGGGTGGGGAGTGGCGGGGCAGGGTGGGGAGTGGCGGGGCGGGGATGTCGTCGTAATTAAACACATAAAAATATAAGAAAAGAATAAAGTTCATTAAATTATAAGCATGAAAATGAGCTGAAAAGAGATATTAACTAAAGCAAAGGGCAAAGAGTGAATGAGGATACGAGTGACAAGTGGGCGGTAAGGAAAAAAATAAGAGAACCGTTAATTTAGTTGAAGAAGATGAGTGAAATTAAAGGAATTTTTATGCGAAATATAAGGTCTTTGAAGAATCGATACACAAGGGTAGACTTACAGCGAATGAATAGATGAATAAAGGAAGAAACATGGCAAATTATTGAATAAGGATTTTGATGTGAATACTTAAATATCGTCATCAATTTTAAGGTTGAAAAAGCACCCTAGAATTATTTCACTAAATGAATTAATCAATCAAGATTTTCAATCATTCACTACAATGAAATAAAATAATTATCTTCTTTTTATTGCACATGAAAGAAATGATGACTCACTCGTGAGCGAGCTGCTGCTCACGCTGCTGCTGCGTGCGCTGCTGCAGCTGCCGATGCATCAGCAGGCGCCGCTGGTGTTGCTGCTCCTGCAGCAGCTGCAGCAGACGCTGCAAGGCCGCCATGCAGCTGCTGCACGCTTTCATGTCCTCCTGCACCAGATCCTCCCGCAGCCGAAGCTCTGGGTACAAAGTAAACTATATTTTCCTGAGTGATTAGAACAGAGAATTTACCAATCAAAGGACGGATGAGAAGAGAGTGTAGACCAATATTCTTCGACTCACCGCAGTCAAGAGCTGCCTGCTCGAGCTGCATCGCGTTCAGCTGACTGCGCATGCGCGCTGCGCCTGCCAGCAGCTGACTGCCGTCCAGCAGCACCTCAGCGTGCACGCTGCTCGTCAGCTCCTCGAGCGCTGACACCGCTGATTCTGCGTCGTTTTCCGCTGACGTCTGCGAACAAAACTTTGTTTTCTTTACAAGCCAAGAGAATACGGTTTGATTTTCTAAACTCTCAAGAAACTTTCAATTTAACATTCATTCTCGTCATTTTAATGCTATCAATCCATTAGTGATTAAGTCAAGAAATCTAGAGAAGTATT